GGAATGCCATCCTCAGCAACTTCTGCCAGAACCAACACACAGGACCCTAATTTTGGTGGTGGATCTGAGTAACAGTAAAGTCCTTAAATGTGACCAGGGGAGGGAAGCAAAGCCAATGAAAGGGCTGGAAGGAATGTCCTATGAGGAGCAGCTAATGACTTTGGGTTTGTCTAGCTTGGAGGAGGTTGACAGGTGACCTTGCTCTCTACAGCTTCATGAGGAGGGGAAGTGGAGAGGGAGGTGCTGACCTCTTCTCCCTGGTATACCATGACAGCATGCGTGGGAGTGGCTCAAAGCTGCACCAGCAGAGGGTTAGACTGGACATGAGGAAGCATTTCTTTACTGAGGGTGGTCAAACACTGTAACAGGCTTCCTAGAGAGGTGGTCAATGCCCCAAGCCTGTCTGTATTAAAGATGCATTTAGACAGTGCCCTTAACAACACGCTTTAATTTTTGCCCAGCTCTGAAGTGGTCAGGCAGTTGGACTAGAGGCTAGTTGTAGGTCCCTTTCAACTGAAATCTCTCCCCCCTCCCTCCACTCCTCTTCCCCCTTCCCCCTCTCCCCTCCCTGTTCTTGTAGACCTGTTATCTCAGGATATGAGAAAAAAAAGCTTGTAGGCAGAAATAATATTGACTACATTACTGGGTACTTTTTAGGAAAAAAAAGGGGTTACCTTTCAGTCACATAAATCTCCCAAAACCCTGTCCACTTTTTTCAAACTATATCAGTTGTTCATCACCTATAAACTTTGTCTCAATATCATTATTAATGGGGGGATAAAATTGAATTCAGTAGCATTTTATCAGGTTTGAAATAATATAGCTGTTAGGGAATTTTTTGCTTCCTTTGCTGGATCATCCCAGCACATTTGGTCTGACAACTGATTCAGGACTGTTACATGCATTATTCAAAGACAAGTAGTTGAAAAGTCCTTTTCCACTTTCTTATTTTAGAGTTTGTTCTAAAGCTCGTAGATTAGGCTGCTTGATAGGCTTTTAAAGTTAATCATTAGTCTTCAAACATGACTAAGTGCCAAAGATCATCATCTACCAAGTTGCAACTGATGTATAAGTACAAATGTAATAAATCATTGTAAATACTGAATGGGCATCCTTCCTGAAAACAATTCTTCTCAATATAACAAGGTTATCTAGCTGCATAGTCAGGACTTCTGAAATAAAACAGAAGGTATTGAGATAAAGGCTGTCACTGAATAGACTTCACCTCGAGGAAATCAGTCTTTGACAGTTACTGATTTAAAATTAATCGAAAGACATATTTAAGTGTGATAGTATGAACTGAATCTGTCAACACACTTGATAGCATGCCTGCTGTGCTTGGATAGGCAGAGCTGCTTGTGGTCCACACACACTGTACACCATGGTAGAGCCTATAACATCACCAGTGCAACTTGCTGGAAGACCTTGGAGATAGGCAGAAGCTTAAACTTTGTTAGTAACAGTGCCTTTGTTGTCCCTGTAAAAATACAGATTTGATGATAGTAAAAATCCTGTCAAAAGTCCGGAAAAGACTTTCAGTTTGTTAAATCAATTATTTCTGACTTTTTCATTTTCAGAATCACTTCAGTGAAAGGTAACTACTTCAGTGCTCCTTCCTACAGTTACAAAAAAGAAAAGAACCCAGACTTCTAATATGGCAGTCCAAGTGGCATTGTGCTGTTGGTGCCCTAGTGCTCTTCAGAAAATGCCAAATCTGTATAGTCATCTACACAGTCTGTAACCACTACACTTGTCCATGTTTTCCTCCAAAAGCAGAGTTAGCATCTAGAAATGTCAATATTCCGTTGTTCTCTAGAAAAAAGATACTTGCTAAACATGTGATTCCCCTGTGTCACTTTCACGTGAAAGATTTGCTCACAGTGGACATTTTTATAAAAATAGTCTCATGAACACTTAAATCTTTTTAATTAATGTAGTTAATCTCCTTTTACTTGATCCTTTATTGCCCAGAAATCTTAAAAGTACTGTAGGACCTGTAATTTTCAAAGGAATAAACACGACTTAAAAGGACCTAAAATGTAAAATGATCATTCTTTATCTTTCTTTAGTTCTTCTGTTCTTAATTTATAATGCCATCAATTGTTTTGGTTCAGCCTTTACCATTTGTATTGTCCATCTTAACAGCTGCTGATGGCCCAGGAGATCGATTCATCATAGGGGAATCCCAGGCTGGTGAGCAGGTGAGCACAGCTTTTTTTCCTTTGTTTTTTTTTTTTGTTTGTTTGTTTGTTTTTTTAATGTGTTTTTCTTTTGTAAGATACTGCTGTGTATTTTTACAAGCCTTGGTAGTGCACCAAAACTCAGTATTCTTGGAGGTGGCATGAATTAGGACACAGCTGTACCTAGCCTCCTGCTATGTGCCTTGGGACGTGATTCCAGAAAGTGAGGTCGTACAGTTACATAAGGAGCTAACAAGGATATCCCAAAATACTTCAGAGCATTGTGCTGACATGTCTGATAGTGCATACAGTAATGTTCTGCCCTAGTGAAATGTTAGAGGACATAAGGTCTCCCGTGGCATTACAATTCATAAACAGAGAAAAACAACATTTAACCCCTTCTTGCTGACAGGTTTTAAAACCAGCATCGGCCCAGTAACTGTTTCCATAAGCTGCTTACATATTTCACACTGATACCTGCAAAACAATGCCTAAGAATTTTGTATGAAGCCTTTAAAGGTAGGCAGTGATTAGAATAATGTGTGGAAGTCTCTCAGAAGCCTATTTTGCAGTATGGCTCCTTTTCTGTTTGTTAAATCAAAACATTGTTGGTGCATCTTACCTGGTAATTAGATGACTTTAAGAACAAGTCAGAGCAGCACCCATTCATGACCTGCTGTGCTGTATAAATATTTATGAATGGACATTATCTGGGATTTGCTCTCCAACTCAAGAATACATTTGATAAAACTCCTGTACTAATACTGGCATGATGGGGAAAAAATCATCTGCATTCAGCCACCTTTTATATTGTGTCAATTTAATTGTACCTGCTGCCTTCTTTTCAGAAGACCTCGGGTTAATCCAAAATGATTAGTTCCAGTTTATAATCCTGTGTAAGTAACAGGCAAAATATGGGACTGATCAGTTTTAATGAGGATTTTACAGTGTGGCCATTTTGACTACTAACCAAAACAGTCTCCAATAAAATAGATGTGTTTCAAACATTCTTTCAGGTCCTAGAAGGATTACCAGTTGCAGTACATGTAATTTGGCTGATCATGATAGATACAGAGAACTGTGAAAATAATTTTTGCTACAGTTCCTGTCCATCATCATAAATTATACTTTGATATAATAGAGATTTTTTTCAATACTGATATTCATGTGAACTTAGATTAATGAATCTGTTATACAAAACATGGTAAAATTCTTTTAAATGCCACAGAAAGTAAACGAATGAATTTCACCTGCCTTGGATTTTTAGCCTTTCTGTCTGCATTTTCAGGCTTTGGACCAGAATCCGAAAGACTGACAACTGTTTCTACAACGGTTTTTATGGTCACTATAAAATACCAAGAACCAGCAGAGCAACCTGCTAAATTATCACTTCTACCATTATTCACCTGCCATCAATATTATCATTTTGCTAGTTAAAAAATATCACAGCACTGTGGTGCTTAAAAACCATACTGGTGAAGCTGTGACTGATGGAGAGGATTGCCCACAGGTCTAGAGGGTTTCAGTGTCCTAATCAGTTCAGCAGATTTGTACAAAGGATAAAAGGGCAAATGGGAGCTTCCTTCCCTCCTACAAAATACAAGAGCTCGCACATGTCTCTCTGCAGGGACAGTCTGTCCTCCCAGATTAATGGGAATGGGAAACCTCTCTGGCAAGGAACAGAAATTGGGTGGGAGGAGGCCCACAGAGAGAGAGTAATTCTGGAAGTACCAGCGGTGAGTTAGAAAAATGAGGCTGTTGACCTCTGAATAATTGGTCAAAGTTTTTTTTTTCTTGGGCCAGCACATCTTCAGGTTCATCTCCTTCCCCATAAATTATTTATAGCCTTGGAAGGCTCCTCAGTCTCATTTCACCCTTCAGTCACTCTCAGCAGCAACATTCTGCTTTTCGTGTTACAGACCAATTAACAGAATGATTCACAGCAGGGAGTTCAAAATAGGTTTAGATTTGGCTCCTCCTGTAGGGAAAAAGCTTATGTAAATGCTACTTAGAGAGGAAGAAAATGGGACTGAGAATTGCAGAGAGGCCATATAGCCAAGTTGGACATTTCTACATCAATTTGTAAATTGTGTGTTATCTTCTGATTGCCATTTCCAGATGGTCATGTGTATGTTAACAACCATTTTTTATTTCGTATTGAGGAAAACTTTCAGACACTGTCCTGCTTTGGGAAGGTTAGGGCACATTTGAAAGCACTGGTCATGAGCCATACACATGGTCTCTGTGTGGAAAACTCAACCATGGGGAGCAATGATTCTCTTCCTATAGACTTGCATTGCTGCAGCTTAGCATTTCCTGGAAGACTTTCTAAAGACATCTGTAAGAGTCACTGTGACTAACCAGCTATAATACAGGATGGAAAACAGACATTTCTTACCTTTCCATTAACTTTGGTCTTTTCAGGGAAAAGAGCATGGGTCATTGTAAGTCACACAGGACAGATGTAATCATGTGCAAGAGAATAATGCCTGAGAATGGGGGCTGTGCTCAATAGGTTATTTCTGGGTTTTATTTATGACTAACATTAAATAGATTACCAGTGGTGAAAGCAAAGGACAGAACCCTGTCTTGCCCTATTCCAGGCAAGTGTGAGGTCTCGAAGGCCTTTAAAATTGCTTCTGCAAAATTGTTGTACATTAGTATGCTTTCTGAGAAGGCATCACTTCTTCATCTTCATAGTCTCTAGCACAGAAGAACACAGCCCTGGAGATTCACACACAAATCTGATGGTTGACTTCTGTTCATAAAGTTAATCTGATCAAATTCTCAAAGGACAAAAAGGAAATTAAATATGTGGGCAAAGAATTCCGAAAGCAATTGTTCTTGTACCGTAAATTTGTTTAAAAGTTTCACATCATTACACCTCAAAAAATTAACCCATCTAGTAATAAACTCCAAAAGCATGGATAGTTACAGCACATTTTATCACCGTAGGCACTGATTCCTGGCAGAGTCCTAGACATTTTATGTTCTTTGTGGTTCTTGAGGCCCAAAAAAACACATTTTAAATGGAAGCATTTTTATATGCAATACATTTTGCCTCTAAAGGTTGTCACTAAAGACATCAATGCTTTAGTAAGTTCAAAACAATATTTGTAATGTGCCTATAGACTATATCTACAACTATATGCAAAAGAGCTCACATAATCCAAGGCATAAGCTTTGCCTTTATAATGCTTGTTTTTGTAAGAATGAAAATAACTCACTAGTCAAGATGATTTTCACTTTTAAGCATCTTCAGTATAAATGGCAGCATCTCAGCTGTTCATCCACAGCTCCTTGCATAGTCTGTGATGAGAAATAAATACTTTTTTTAAAAAAAAAAAGGTGGTTTTTTTGTATCTTCTGGTTTACATGCCTAGTTTAGGATAATATGAATATTACCCTAAAAACACACTAGCTATGACGTATGGCAAGTGTGATTCTTTAATTTTTTTTAAAATTTATTTATTTATTTTAATTTATTTTTGCATTTTATTTATGTTCTTCTCAAAGGATGTCAGTTTTCTGTTACCTTTAAAAAAGGGACGGGATTCAACCAGTTCCAGGCTCATTTTTTTCTTGGGATACATATGTCACTGTGATACTGTGGCAAAAAAGGTACACACCATTTCAGCCTCTCCATATGGCTTCTGTCCCAGTGAGCAACCTTTGAAATACACACATTATAAAGTTATACTCCTATTGCAGATGTTATGACAGTGCTGACATGGAGTAGAAGAATGAGCAAGGCACACAGCTTTATGCAGCTGAAACATTGGCCACTGGTCTAGAATTTACATGTCTAACAGCCTCCTGTCAAAAGTCATGGGGTAGATGATTGCTTGGGCAGTACCAATTGTAGGTCTGTGAGTCACTGTCAAATACGTGCTAATCACAGCCTGAGAAGTCCTGGACATATTCTAATGTCGTATATAAAATATAGAGTCCATCTGCAGGTGAATTACACATGTCACACATATAGACTATGTTGGTCTGGTCACAGCTGTGTAAATGTGTGTCCAGCACATGTTTACTAATAACAGTAAAGCCTTAATAAGTTGGGCTTACTGAAGTGCTGCAGGGAGGAAGCACTGATATTCCAGCAATGAAATCTCAGTCGTCATACCAGCTTCTTTTAGCTGCATTTTTTTAGAAGGATTTTTCTTTTAATTGTGTGTTTCTTAAGTGATTATGGTCAAATTACAATTTTACTCTGGATTTTGAAAAATGTGTATTAAAATAGGCTTCCTGGTGAGAAATTTTATTAAAACCATGTCACTTAGTGTATCGTGTTGCTCTGATAGTTTTCTAGGCATTGTATTGCTTCTTCTGAAACTTTGTGATGTATTGTGACCTTACGTAATTGCAGAACATTACCAGTCTTGGGTTTGGCTAAACTGACATTCAGAAAGATAGATAATCTGTGTGAACTGCTGTTGAGCTGTCTCTCAGTATGAGGAAATCTGTGTAAAATGAAGCAGCTGGTTACACAGCAGCTTTACCTACAAGTTGCTCCATATATAGTGTGCTGGTAAAACAAAAACCCAGCCAAACCAAAGGGAAGAAATTTCAACCTTGGGGACCAGAGTGCTCTGCAAAAATATTTAAGTACAGAGAACTACTAGATTTTTGCTCATGAAAGTTTCTAGAAGGTTGCCCTCTAACTGTTCTATTTTCTGAGCCAACCAGAGTGTCAGCATATTGCTTCTTCTGAAAGTTATTCTTGTGATAGAAATCTAGGGGGAAAACTCTGAAGCGCTTCATGTGGACCTGATGATCTTTTAAATACATTGGAGATTATGCCTGTTGATATCAAGAGTCATGCTACAGATAAGAATTTTAGTCTTTCAGATTACTTCCACAAGTTCAAATGTTTTGAGATTTTTTTCTTTTTAAAAGTGAATTAATACTTGTTTGTTTATCTTTTAGCCGACTCAGACTGTGATGCCTGGTCAGGTAATGCGCGTTACAACCGGTGCTCCCATTCCCTGTGGTGCTGATGCCGTGGTGCAGGTGGAAGACACAGAGCTCATCCGGGAATCGGATGATGTGAGTCACGAGTCTGAACTCCGTCTTTTGTCTGCATCAGAAAATGGCTCGGGATACAATCCTGTAGATAGGGAAGCTAGCCCTACAGAAAAGCTCTTCTGTTAGTCCCAGAAGTTGCGGGATTTTCACATCAGTTCCTAGCACCAGTGCTGCTCATTTTTCCAGGCTGTGGTAACGGTACCACAGACCTACCTGTCCTGACAGTGATTTTTCATCACGGTTGTTGAATGCTGACTGACACCAAAGTATTTGGGAGCATGATTTTGAGTGAAAGGCAAATGCCTCCTGGAGGTCCATAACTACAGTCCAATTTGAGTGCCTAGTGCATTCACATTTAAAACTACAAAGTAGTGGCAATCAGACATCGTATTTTCTTCTTTTCTACCGAGTTCACATTTAGCAGTAGAGCAATCTTCTTTATATTTCAGGATCATCCTGAAACTCAGCAAGATGAGGACTTCAAAAGTTCTCCTTAAACTCACCAAGAAATGGGAGAAGTTTTCTTAAAAATACGTACTGATCCTAGAACAATACATTGAAATATTACAGTGTAGCATTTCTGCTGATGTAAATAAAGCTGAGTGCCATTTTCTGTGGGAAAGTGAACTGTTTGAAGTGCAGCAAAATCCGTGGAATGACTTGGGTTATTATTAACTATGATATAAAGATGGTTCTGAGTTATCAGACTTGGTCTTGTTTCAGCAAAGGTGAATTTGGTGGGGTTTGGAGAATATATCTTGTGCACATGCCATAAAACAAAAGTGTAAAACAATAGATGAGTATTGTGGTACTAATTTGGTATGCACAGTTGTCTTCACAAAGTCAGATTTGGTTTTGACGAAGCACAGGAGCTGTCTGTAGACAACTGTATCCCAAACAGTCCATCTTGAACTTCCTTTGTGCTCAGAGAATTGCAAATCATAACCTTCACTTACCCAGCTATGATTTCAGGACACCATCGTCATGTTTGCCATCATCTGACAGATTTTAAGATAAGAAGATACATCTCTTATTGACACAACTTCCAAGTTCAGTTTTGGAATGAAGTGTGTGCATGGTTCTCTGTTCAAATCAGCCTTTGCTCCTCTGCTGTGGTTCTGACAAGCTGTTCCACTTCACCATAGCTCTGTGCTACCGCTGTGATTGCACCTGGGGTGTATCAGACAAGTTCTAGTGATCAAAGCTGTTGAAGACAGCAAAAACTGAAACATGCTCTCATGATCCTTTCTCATGCCTTATTACTGTAAATGCACAGATTTTTTAGATGTGATGAAGTCAGCAAGCTGTCTGGGCTGGCCTCCTTCCTAACAGAGAATTTATTGACTCAGTCCTGCTTTGAGGTTACAGATACATGTGTCTAGATTATGTCTTCCCATAAAATGCACCATTGCCTTCACTGCTTGTTAATTGTCCTAGGAGCCTTACTGAGCAAGTTTTCTGTGGCCATTGCCCACCTCATCATGAGAGGCCTATCACATTGCAGAGCAATATACATGAGTACCTGTTATTTTCTGCTTCTTCTTTGGGTGACCATCTTCTTTGGATTCCACTTTTTCTCTGCTGCATGTGAGAACAGATTATTTGGCTATATGCTCAAACTCTGAATTTTTTGGTGAATGATCAGCCACCTTCAGCTTCCTTTTTCTGCCTGTAAGTGTGAGATAGAGCTCTTCAGTTTCTACTCATCCTTGACTATGCTACTCTGCTAATCCTGTACATAAAGTATTAGTGTAGTTTAAGTGATACAGTATTTTTCCTCTCCTTTTTCATGCCTGGGTAGCTACATATTTCAAGAATATTTTTCTTTTTAGAGTTAAGAACTCCTTCAGGGCTGGGATTTAAGTGAAGTGAAATCTCTAACATCTGAAAAATGTTCTTCTGAAAAGAGAGAGTACTTTTAAAAGGAGCTCCTTGACCTCTAGTTGTGGTAGCAGTACTTAATACCATAGCAAGCATTTCCCAAATGACTGTAGAAGTCACAGAAGTGAAAGGAATTGCATGTACCCAGCAGGAAGAAAAAATTCTCATTAGCTTGCCAAATGCACAGTCATTGAGAAACTGATCCTTGCAAAAACTTGTCTACACCCTTTTTATTTTGAGTTTTTATGTCACCTCATAAGGAACAGGAGGCCATTGTGATTAACCAAAATGAGAGTTAGAGCCTACATCAGGACCAAGCATCACTATATCAGAGCATTGATGCTGGCTGTTAACCATCAGCGTAAACCACTCAAACATAGTCCAAAATACATTAATACACAGCAAGAAGAATGCTGCCTGATACACACCAAATGGTGTTCTCAGCATAATGCCAAACCTCCCTGCAAGCCCTACCTCCAGCCACCTTCAATTATCTTGTATTCATAAAGTGTTGTTTCCCCTAATCCAGGGGCCCTAAATACAACCTTTTGTATTACTCAGATATATCATGGGCGCTCCTCTTGACTCCCTAGACACTTCCTAGCTACCTTTAAATGTTACCAAAGATATGGAAAACTAAAATCTTCTTGAGTGGCCAACCATCCCCACAGTGTCATAAGAATAAAATCATTCTTAAACTGACTGTTGCCCCAGATTTTCATCACAAGCCTAAACTGTCTTTTACAGCTTCAGATGGGGATAAGGGAGCTAAAAGGACATCCTGGGCACCAGCACAGCCATTTTGGACACCAGCAGCCAAAAATAGTCTCTCCTCTTTCCCAAGAGGAGCAGATATAAAAGAAACAGAATTTGCATTAACAGCATATTTTGAAAGTACTGTGGTAAAGCAAGAAATCATTTTTTTTCCAGGTTTTATGGTTTTGTTCTTCATTTCCTGGTTTTCAGGGGTTTAAATTCTCCAGAATCACAATCTGTAGCAAAAGGTTCATCAATTTTAATGTTGGGGCCCTTCGTTTAAAGCACTTAGTTTGAACTTAGAAATGCAGTCCATGTCACCTTTAAGAGACAAGTTCCAGTGTGCTACACAACACTATTGTAAAAATTATTAAAGGTTCTGTCGTAAAAATATTTACTAGCCTGTAAAAATTCCCAATTGACAATGACGTGCCGTGTTTGTCTGGTAATAACAATGTCTGATTTATAACTTCAAAGTACTTAAAGTATGAAGTACTATGTAATAATATAAAAACAAAATCTGTTCCAGTCTAAGTAAGTGTAGATTTAGTGCTACTGACAGGCTGGCACTACCTCAAGCAGAGTCTGTATATCAGCAACTCACTTCCAGGGCTTATAAATTAAATATGAGCAATATAAGTCATTTGCCATTTATTAGCATTGAATGAACCACCAAGCCATTGAAATTCTGAAGAAGGAAACACTAATATTAAAGTAGGCATCAGACTTTTCAGGCCACTGTCTCTTGTTAACAGTAAATAAACGTCATGAATAAGCCTCTTTCTGATTTGTACAACTCTCAAGTAGCAATCTACGTGGGAATCTAGGAATCTAGAGGAATCTACATAGAGTCATAGAATGGGCTGGAAGAAACGTTAAAAATCATCCAGTTCCAACCCCCCTGCAGTGAGCAGGGACAGCTTCTACTAGGCCAGGTTGCTCAAAGCCTCATCCAACCTGGTCTCGAACACACCCAGTGACGGAGCATCCATATCTTCTCTGGACAACCTGTTTCAGTGACTCACCCTCCTCACAGCAAAAAAATTTCTACCTAAATCTACCCTCTTCCAGTTTGAAGCCGTTACCCCTCATCCTATCAGAGTCTGGTTTCCTGTGGACTGATACATTCATGGTAAAATGCCTGGCACTACCCAGGTGACAGAGTGACTGGGCAGAGAGTGAACTACCCTGAGACCCCACAGGACAGGCTGAGCTTTAGTAGTGGGTTGGGGCAACAGGAGGTGAACTGGTAATGTGAGGTTAACTGCCCTGGCTGCTTCTGTCCTGCGCATGACCCAAGTCATCAGGACAGCCTAAAGTACTATAAAGAGCTGGAGCCAGGGTGGGGGAAGGTGGATGAGAGAAAACAGCAACAATAACACTGAAAATGTAGACTTTTAGTAACACAAAACAATGTTTTGATTGACTCATTATAACACTTATACTAGGTAATAAATCTTTCAAATAAAAGGTCCAGATAAATTTAGTAAGTTCACTTCACAAGCTGTAACTGTTCTAAGTAGGTACTTCATCATGAAAATCCTGAAACAGAGCATACGTCTTCTCACCTTCCTGCAGATGTAAGGGCATATTGTTTGTCAGACTAATGCTCTTTTTGAAATGCCATCTTTGAAACTGTTTAAGCAGATGAAGTTGGCTGAGAGGAGTAGAATGAATCCACTCAGTATACCAGATCAACAAACACAGGGCATAACATAGGGAAGCTGTATAAACATATGGATCATAAAAAAGGAATATAAAACCATGTATTCGGTGCTGGTCCTTCCCTGGTGAGCTCATCAAAGACAGAATTCTTATAAAGCTGTTCAGTTTTAGCACATCGTATTACAATCTTAACATACAGATCAGGAGAACAGTGATGATGCTTAAACCATAAGGTCTCAGTGAAATGAGTGCTATAAGCTGTGTAGATTTCTGAGAAATTAAAACTGATCAATCTTATTTGAAAAGCCCAGCTGACCATATTTGACCTCCTTATTTTTGTAGGGCACTGAAGAACTAGAGGTTCGAATCCTGGTGCAGGCTCGACCAGGCCAAGATATCAGGTCTGTAAACAGCCTACTTTATAAACAATAAAATATCTCTGTAAGGAATGGAAGGGCTGGTGACTTTTAGAGCTGTTGTTTGACAATAAGTGGTAGTGACATTTTGACACTCTGACTAGTGAACATCCCTGGACACTCCTTACCTGGAGCAGGACCAATCAATGAAAGATACTTTCAATCTCATTCTGTTTTTTCCTTTTTTTTCTGTGCTATGATCTCCAGACCTATAGGACATGACATTAAAAGAGGTGAATGTGTGTTGGCTAAAGGAACCCACATGGGCCCATCTGAGATTGGTCTCTTAGCAACTGTTGGAGTAACTGAAGTAGAAGTTAACAAGTTTCCAGTGGTTGCAGTCATGTCAACAGGGAATGAGGTAAGAAAAGTATGTTTTGAATCAAGATCTGGATTATATATCTTCTTCAGAACAGGCATAGTGTTTTGGATAGTGGCTTCCACCCTTCTCCCTCTTGTAGAGCTGCAGATCATGCTGACATGAAAGTCTCACACACTGTCTTTGCCAAAATTTTGGTAATGTATCCAACCATGTGCCAGCTGCTTCCCTCCTTCCAGCACACAAGGACCCGTTGGGTAGTCAGGGTTGTAATTCACAGTGCTAATCATGTCTGGAAGGGTGGTTTCTTTTGAGCCACACTCCTCTGTAGCTATAGTGCAGATGGCAGATACTCTGAAATCTGAAGAGTACTACCAAACACCTTGCTGTAGTGTTGTACCTTAGTATTTTTTTATTAGTATCACATGTTGAAAACCAGACTCCTATTAGTAGAACTCCAGGCCACCTTCCTAATTGGTTTGTCTTATCTACATCAGAAAAAGCAGGTTCAAGATTAACTTAATTTTCTAATTTTATGTATGTTGTGGGTTGACCCTGTCCAGCAATTGGGCACCCACAGAACTGCTCACTTATATCCTCCCACAGCAGGATAGAGAGAGAATAGGAGGAGCAAGTGCAAAAGAACTTGTGGGTTGAGATCAAGTCAATTTGAAGTTTAAAGACAACATTACATTTGTCCTGTATTGTCCTTGGAGATAAATTTGGAGTCCAGACACAAACATCAACCCAACAGCTGTATTCTCATATAGATTGAATATGTTAAATTTTGAAAGAATTTGAGAACTTTTAATTTGTTGAATTTTATCATCTGGTGGTATCCATACAACTTCCTTAACCCCAGTGAATGTTAATCTGTGACTGCTGGGTGCTGTGGATGGCTGAGGCCAGCCCTGCTGGGACAGAATCGTGCTGAATTTCAGAACAGAGGCAGGGTCAGTCACGCAGGAAACAAACCAGTAACTGAAGAGCTACAAGGAGTACAGCTGATGGTTTTCTGCATAGTGACTTCTACATGACTGAATGTTCTTGAATGTCACAAAAGGGTCCTTTACTGATATGGACACTTTCTTTTTGTAGTGTTAAAAAAGATCCTGTACACTGGGTTTCTTAATCATCCTATGGCAATATTCACAGAAATACAGCTGCTAGTCAAAGCGTCAAAATGCAGCCGTGCTCCACTTGTGGTTATTCTCACCTTACTGCCTAACACTATTGCTGTAATTTTGGCAGATATATTATTATTGTTGTTGTTATTAACTTCCTATCACTATTGTATTGTCCTTCTGTGTCCTAAAAAATAATTCCTAATATATGTAAAATAGATGTTTACGTATGTGTGTTTTGTGGTTTAACTTCCAAAATACGTAGCACCTGTAAGGCAGTTGCCATGATGCTGTCTTGAGAGAGAGCTTTTCATCCAAACCTGTATTTGATATAAGAACCAAGCTTTAAGTTTCTGTCTATTATTCCAATACAGACTGTTGTATTTCAAAAATCTCTTTTTTTTTTTTTAATTAGCTATTGGCTTCAAAATTTCTGTTAATAGCTTTAAATCTGGTTAGCAGCATCAGTGAGGTTCCTTTAAAACCCATCAAATACAAGCAATAACTTGAAACTTGACGTTTGTGGTTTGATTTCTGTTATTTGAGAGTAGAAGCCAGGTACTCATAAGGAGAAAGAAAGTTTTGCAGACATAAGTGAATGGAAGCACACTAAGCAGCATAGATGATTGGACTAAACAAGCACATTACATATCTTAATGTAAAGTGAGTAAATCACACGTATGTTTTATGATAGGTGTCTAAGAATATCCTGTCCAATCTGAATAAGAAAATTCTTACTTGTGTAAAGACACAGTATTACAAGGAGACTTACTGAGAGTGTTTCTGGTTTTATAGCTACTGAATCCTGAAGATGACCTCTTGCCAGGAAAGATTCGGGACAGTAACCGTTCAACTCTCCTAGCTACAATCCAAGAACATGGCTATCCAACAATCAACTTGGGAATTGTGGGAGATAAGTAAGTACCACATGTTAGTAAAGATGTCACTTCATATTCATGCGGTGCACTTTATGGCATCTGTGGAAAAAAATACCAGAGAAGATGTCACTCATTGCAAGTGTCACAGTGTTGTGACAGGGCACATCTTAGAGAATATATTTTACCTTTTTAATTAGATAAATAAATAAATCTAATATTAAGAAGAATCTTTTGATAATTTTTTTATTATTGAATGGTGTTTATCTTGTTTTGCCTTCTGTTTGTTGAAACATCTGTTTGTTACTGCTGCAAATGGAATTTGTTGCTGCAGTATCATCACAAGCACCATATTTAACACACATGAGAGGAGACAATGCTGTACTTTTTTCTGATCCAGTAAAGGGAGAAGGAAAGTTTCTCTCAGAGTTTATTTTCCGTGCCAAAATTAATTTTGAATATAGCAGTTTGTCAGATTCTGAGTAACTGTCTTTTGGAGAAGGCCCCACTGCTGGATGTAGCTCAGTATTGCCAGAAATATGTCAAAGAATTTAAAAGAATCGTGTGGTTTTACCTCTACTGGTCTCCCTACTGTGAATGCCACAGGGTAGCACCCTGTGATCAGTCTTTTCATTCATCTGACGGTGATTACTCCTTGTTTCCCACTGGTAGTGAAGTCACATCTCCCGTTGAGAGCTCTAGGATAAGTGATTGAAGTGTTCAGTCTTTTCTCCTGTGCAAGACTGTGCAATGCCTGTCATCCATGGCATGAGTTTCTCAGCATAACATATTTTCTCAGTTTATTGAGCCCCAAAGGCTTTAGACAGGCCTTCTTAGTTCTTATTTTGGGTATCAAACCAGCTGACAGATTTGGTTTAACAGGGAGTTGTTCAGGTTCACCTCCACCTGTTTGAGAAAAAGAGTATTCCTTGTGCATAGGTAAAAGTGAGGTCAGATTAGAAAGAAAAAAGGAAATGGTGAATTTTAGCACCCACATTTCACATTGATGGATGATAAAATTCCCAAGCAGGGGGACAAAGTTAGTGCTCAGGGAATAGCTCATTTCAAACCCAGTCTTCCCTAGTGCAGGATTCAGTACAAAATATCACTAGCTTGACAGAAATTATATGAAGGGGCCAACCACTGTGTGATTCTAGAGTTTGTGTACCAGCCTGAATGGTGGCTCCAGGAGATGCACTTGTATTGGAGGTATTCATACAGGAAGTGTGACATAAAGCAACCACAGCATTTGTTGTGATCTTAGGGAAAGCAAACCCCTCTAGATTTTCTCACTGCATCCAGGCATCCTTTTTTACTTCTCTGGCCTGGCAAAACTCCATTGCTCTTCCAAATAGCAGTAAAGATCCCAAACCTCCTACCTGTGAATGCTTCCAGTTTCAGGTGGAGATTTTATGCAGAGTCTAAGCTCATGAGATTGTCCTTTCCAGAATTGGTATCTAAAAGTTCTGGATTGCTAAAGTGTTTTCTATATTACAAGGACCTTTTCAGATTTTAAAACACAGATAGCAAAGTTCTCAAATAAAGCTATTGTATCCAGAGATCAGGCTCTGGAAGAAAACAGCCACAAAAAAGGCTGTTAATTATAGTCACCTCCTGAGAGTCATCCCCACTTAAAAGAAGGGTTGGAAGGTTTTTCTGCAGCAAAATGCTGGAGGTGGAACTTTTGGCAACCTGCATGACTGGAGGTTACTACTACTGTCATCAACATTACTGTCAGCATCAGCTTACACACTGTCACTAGCCCCATTTACAGTGGGTTCATCCAATGGAAACGACGCTTCCCCCTGAACACCTTTCTGGTAGCCCCTCTGGCAAAATAAGAATGTAAAGGTCCTTTGTGGCCATGTCCGAACCAAGTAGATACAGCCTCAAATTTGCTGTAAAGTCAACACTGTCAAATGCAGAGTTTAACTTAAGGTCATTGTGCAGAATTATAGCTATGTACTCCATTGCCTTCAGGATATTTTTTTATAACCTCATAGGCATGGAATGTGAAAATAATTAATCTTGAAAGCTCTCAGTAATAAATAGCAAACAATTTTAGTGAGATTTAAGGCCCAAGATAACTTTTTTTTACTTCTCTACATTTTACTTTTCTATATTTTTTCAGATACGTTTTGTGACCCTTTTTTACTTGCAGGGTGCTAGCTGAAAACCAGACAGCGAACATGTATCAGTCAAAGACAGACTTTGCTTTACTTTCGATTATGAGAGAGGCTGAAGCTTTTGAGTCCTCCCTATTAAAATGTTCTCTGTCTTGAGATAGTATTACCGTGATAAAGGTAATAAGAGTTCTTAAAATCTCACTTTCCTCCTTGGGGAGTTATTTCTGCTGAGGTAGTTACTGCAGCTCATAGAATAGAAATAATGAGCCTCCAATTGTAGAGTGATTTTCTACTTTGCAGTAAGTTTTGAAAGAATAATTTGGTACTGTTGGCTTAGAATTCTTGTTAGCCGAGCATCCTCCCCGCCTGATAGCAGGTTATCAAGTCTTCTGCTGTTCTTCCAAGACTCAGGTGCCAAATCCATATATTTACAATGCACCTGCAGTTCTGTTTCAGTCGAAGGGGAAATGTGGATAAGGAAATTAGTTTGGTAATAAGCATGGTACTAATTCATTATGCAATAAAGCTACTAGGAGAATGTTGCCCATATAGATATTTCAGTACATGTCTTTCAAACTAACATGACTGATTTGATGGAGTACCATGGCACTTGAACAAATATAAGAGCCTTACCAAAGAGGACTTTTGAAGGGTGCAGTTTTGACATTTTAGTTAGCATGCTTACAGAAAAGATGAACAAGCCTTCAGAGACCATTATATATCTTTTTCTATTTCTTCTTATTTATACATTTTACATTGAGTAAATTTTCCTGTATGTTATATAGGAGTGTCACTTGCTGTATACTATAAGCATCGATTGCAGTTTGAGAGAGCAGGCAATAGGGAGCACAGTTGAGTAATATTATTGCTGTAACAGGTCAAGTCTTTTAACAAGCATGGAAATTCTGTCAATCATATATACTGAGCTGGTATACAAGCATGAAAGTTGTTTGAGAGTAGTATTTGCAAAGACAAACTTAGAGGTATGTATTCCTATATTTCATTTGAGCATATGAATCATTCAGAGGTGTTTAGGTGAAAAAATAGCTTGTCCAGCTGCTTCAAAGCCTGGGACTGTGATACGTGTAAACATGTTCCAGCTGAGAACGTCAGAAGGATGGGGAAGCACATGGAATGTCAGCAGGTGGTTGCACACTAGTTAGGAACACTTTAAAAATGCCTTTGCGTAGTAATCATATGTAAAGCTATGTTTTGAACTGGCTGCTCAAGTCTCACCCTAAATTGGTATTTTCAGTTAAAACCAATGTCTAAGGTTGTCATTGTTTGTTTCCATTTTCATAAACTGTATATAGAACTCAATATTCAAAGTGAAAAACAGCAACGCTAAAACACCTAGATAAAATCTACAATTGAAATCCTAGAAGTGAGCAATAGGAGAAAAGAACAAACCTGGAAAACATACAGCTGAAGTTATGGCTAGACAAAAGCCAAGATTTTCCTTTGTTTGTGTTCCTAGCACATAAAAACCGAGCTGCTTGAAAGGCACACATCTCTGGGTAGAAATGGAAGATATTCCATTTCCAGAACTACTCCAAACACAAGAAAAAAATGCCAAACCAAAAAAAAGAACTCTTCTAATGTTTTTACTGTTGTGTCTTAGTCTGAATCACAGAATCACTTGCTCAAAATCACAAAGCCAACTGGCCACTTAAAACTGGTAATCCAATATACTTTTGAGTGTTGTCTTACATAACAAGACCAAGTTAAAATGGTTTCTCATTACCCTTCCTTTGCTTATAGTCTTATGAAATTATCTGATTCTTTGGAAACCACTGCACGACACCTCTGTTCTGATCTGTGCAACTCCATTAACTTAATTATCAAGATATTTTTGTGTCTGATGATTTAATTTGTGGTATTCTTAGTATCTGCTGTTTGAAGCTGTAAAGTTTAGCCCTAGCAAAATCTGCTGTGGTGTGTGTCTCTGTTTTAGACAGCCATCTTCCGTTTTGACAGTTTTCCTTCTATGAGAGACTCTCTTACTAAGCTTGCGAAAGAATTCTGATCACACATATAATGAATTAAATTTCCTGGTTTTACCTTTGTTTACATGAGTGCATTTTCCCCTTCTCTGCACTCTTTTGCCTATTTTCTAATTCCCTTATCATTTGTCTGAGAGGTATGTATAACATGAGCTGCCTCCAGCTGCATTTTCATTTATAAGCTTGTGATTTCACAATGGAGAAGGAATCTTTCTCTCCTTAGGAGAAAAATTCAGGACATTCACATTATCTGCTCAGTAGCTTTAAAACTTTATCAGAATAATCAGTAGTATATGAGAGCTTTCCTACATTAGAAATTAATAGTTTCTCCTTTATATATATCCTTTATATACATCTCTTTTATGACATACCATTTGACATAGAGCTCCTAAGTGACAAGTGAACCCATTAAAAATCAACCTTCCTACTGTGACAGCATTACTGTATGATATCCCTTAAAAGGCTTTGAAGGAGTCTCTTCATATTTTGGAAAGGATACTAAGATCTCATTGAAGGATTTAATCTGCTTGAATTTTATGTTTGCCATCTAAAAAGAAGTTTAAATCTTTTGTACTTGTGTGGGTTGCATGTAATTACCAGTGCTATAATTCAGGTGGAACATCTGGAGTGGAGGGAGAAGAGCAGGGAAATTTCTCTAACTCTAAAATTTCTCATGCAATATCAACTTGACATATATCATCATATGAGTTATAGGGAGAATTCAGCCACAGAATCCTAGCCTTGTCCTGCAGCAGTTTAGTGTCCAGCTTGGGTACAATCAAATATACTGAGAACAGAATTATTATTAGTAGTACAATCATTTAACAAGCAACTGCAAGAAAAGTCTTGTTAGAGAAAAGGCCTTAAATCAAATGTCACAATGGTAGATTTTGCTAAAGTGACTTCAATTCTA